CCTAATCCTAACCCTTAACCTAACCCTAACCCTAACCCTAACCCTTAACCTAACCCTAACCCTAATCCTAATCCTAACCCTTAACCTAACCCTAACCCTAACCCTAAACCTAACCCTTAAGCTAACCCTAAACCTAACCCTTACCTTAAGTTGAATCGGCTTGCTTTCAAAGCGCTATTTAAAGCGCCCTTCTTTCTCCACATTCGCTGTTGTCGCCCTGTTGATGACGTCAGCGACGCGGTTCAGTTGAACGCGGTTTAGTCGAGCACGGTTTTGATGGGTCACGCCTTCCAATGGTATGATTCTATGTTCTACAAATTGATTCCGCCCATCTACCTGGGAGAAGGTTATCTCCGACTCTGGCAATATGTGGATTTCAGCTCCAGGAATTCTGGCTGTTGAAGTCCACATACCTCCTACAACACTGTCCTAAGAACAAAACTAGAACCGGTCAAGGAAAGTCAGCTTCCTTCGGGAGTCGAGCCAAGATTTGAATCCTAATCCCTTGACCTTCCTCCCCAAAGGATGTGGTGTTGGAGCTCGACTTCGAGGGTGTTAAAGAGAAACTGACCATGATGCAAGTCTGGCCCGTCCGGCAGATCCGTCCGGTGTCCGAGAAGCTCCCGGCCAATCACCCACTGCTTACTGGCCAGAGAGTTCTGGATGCGCTCTTTCCGTAAGCCATCGTTTTTGTAAGAAAGGGAAGGTTTGTGATCGCCCTTCAGCATGGGTGGGCAACTGTCACCCCTTTACGACCTGTGGACTTTTATTATTTATTTATATATTAGGCTTATATACCGCTTCATAGGGCTTTCAGCCCTCTCTAAGCGGTTTACAGAGTCAGCATATCGCCCCCGCAGTCCGGGTCCTCATTTCACCCACCTCGGAAGGATGGAAGGCTGAGTCGACCCTGAGTCGGTGAGATTTGAACCGCTGAACTGCAGATAACAGTCAGCTGAAGTGGCCTGCAGTCCTGCACCCTAACCACTGCGCCACTTCTGGGAGTTGAAGTCCAGACTCATTAAGGGCCCATAGTTGCCGACCCCTGCTTTTCAAGGTCCTTTTCCTGACACGGCTTCCATGAGGGATGATTTCAACTCCGATTGCTAAATTTGCAAGAGATTCTAAAGTGATGCAGGTAGTCCCAATTTATAACCACAATTGGGACTGGAATTTTGGTCACTAAGCGATGCATGCATTAAGCAAGTAATCACTGACCAGACCAATGGTGGCTTCCGGATCTGGCACTCGGGTGCATCCACGCACGTTCCGGTTTTGGCACTTGGTGCCGAAAAGGTTCGCCATCACTGACCATAGGAAGCACTTAGAAATTCAGCTCCTGTCTCGGAAGGGCCGCTTCGCACTTGAGTTGATCACAGTTTAACCAATTAATCCCAGTTGCAGGAGAAACTGGCTTCCTTTGTCCCAGGGTCTGGTTGGTTCTTTATGGTTCAGTGGTCGGGTGAATCCAGTCGTTGGCTAAAGCCCCTCTGGGGCTCTCATTAAAAGCTGAATTGGGTGTGTGTGTGTCTCTCCTTCTGCTCTCCTCTCCCAGGTGCGTCCAAGGTGGCACCACGGCCATCCCAGGTGCCTTCGGGTGCGGGAAGACGGTCATTTCCCAGTCTCTGTCAAAGTACTCCAACAGTGACGTCATCATCTACGTGGGCTGCGGAGAGCGTGGGAACGAGATGTCGGAGGTGCTCAGGGACTTTCCCGAGGTGAGGATGGCAGGGACACCAGGCACGACGCCCCTGTTCTTCTGCATCTCGTTGCGGAGGTCTTCCTTGGTCAAAATGGAAGGAAAAGGGGAGAATTCAGAGGAACCCAGTTCTGCTCTTCTATCGGTTCTTATGGATCACACTTAAAAAATCATATACAATCAGGATCACCTGAAGTGTTAATACCACCCTTTAAAGCCTTAGTAAGGCCGCACCTAGAATCCTGCATCCAGTTTTGGTCACCACACTATGAAAAAGAGGTTGAGGGCTCTAGAAAGAGTGCAGAGAAGAGCAACCAGGATGACAAGGGGACTGGAGGCTCAAACAGATGATGAACCTTTAAAGCCCTACATGGCCTTGGACCTGGGTATGTAGCCTCCTGCCACATACCTCCCAACGGCCGATAAGAACTCACAGACTGGGCCTCCTCCGGGTGCCGTCGACCGGACAATGCCGGCTGGCGACCCCTCGGGGGAGGGCCTTCTCTGTAGCTACTCCAGCCCTGTGGAACGATCTACCCACAGAGATCCCACTCTCTCGGCCTTCCGAAAAGCCACTAAAACCTGGCTGTTCCGGCAGGCCTGGGGCTGTTGACCCAGCCGCCCAGAGTCCCTAGGGAGTGGGCGGCATACAAATTCTATTAAAGTTGAACGTTGATGAATGAGGTCCAGCCCCCATCTAGGTTTGAGTGTATGGTGTGTTGCTTTTAAATCTGTTTCGTTTTCCCTATATTTTATTTTTTATTTTACTCTTGTATTTGTAAGCCGCCCCGAGTCCTACGGGATTAGGCGGCATATAAATTTATTAAATTACAATTACAATTATGAACGTTTGCAGGAACTGGGCCTGGCTGGTCTAGGGAAGAGAAGGACCAGGGGAGACAGGAGAGCATCTTCCAATATTTGAGGGGCTGCCACAGAGAGGAGTTAGGGGGTCAAGCTATTCTCCAAACCCCTGAAGGTCCAGAGAAGGAAGAATGGATGGAAACTGACCAAGGAGAGATTCAACCTGGAAATAAGGAGGAATTTCCTGACAGGGAGAACAATCAACCCCTGGATGGTGAGGTTGGACTCAATGACCTCCAAGGTCCCTTCCAATTCTGTTAGTCTACTCTAATCAAGTAGGACAGTGGTTCCCAAACTTGGCAACTTTAAGACTTGTGGAC